TTTCCCTGGCACATTATTCTGCTTAAAGCTCTGCACTTGGCCACTGTGAATCTCCAAATCTGTTAAATGCCTTTGAGCAATCACTGAACTTTTTGTGGGGCAAAGTCACTTCTCATCTGCAACATTTACTACTAAGTTCCTCTGTCTTAGCTTAGTACTAGAAGCCAGCTGCAGTTCCTTGTCACATGGACTTGCTTAACATGGCTGCTTATTTCATCATGCCACAAATAAAATCTCTCTCCAGTATGTTAAGATGGAGTCTTATATAACGTAACAGTCATAGGAACAATATCCCATCACCTTTGCCATGATCTAATGGTTAGAAGCAGTCTCAGTTCTGCCTACCTTTGGGAGAACATGACATAAATCATTGGTTGTGACCTAAGGCTTATTTGTCACAACTTCTAACAATAGGACAGAGACCATATGGAGTATCAGCATTCAGTAGGACAAATATCACAGTGGAAAGAGGTGATTTTTTTTTTTTTTTTGTCATTGCCACAGGATGTACGCAGTCACTGGAGATGGAGACAGAGAGAGGAAAAGTGAGAAATCCCCTTTCCCACCAGGGAGGATGGCAATGTGGCAATCCCTTTTATATTCTCCTCTCAGGACTTGGGCATGCACACATGCACACCTGGCATGATTTTCAAGCCAGGTTCAGGGTTATAACTACAGTCAGCCATGTTGGAGTCCAGCACCTTAGGCACTACACAATTTGCTGGCTGAGAAAGAACTTTCTTAAGAAATCAGTTTTGTCTCCTTACTTGTGATTAACCATTCACTTTATCTCCCACCTGTAAAATTTGTAAGTGATAACTTATGTCACAGAATTTGGTGATTTCAGAGTAAAGTACTTATGGAGAAGGCTGGTCCTGCAGCTTGGTGGTTAGAGGAGCCATATCACACATTGTTCAACCACAGTTCAAGTCCTGGATCTAGTGGCTTGAAAAATATGCCAGGCACATGCATATGCCAGGCACATGTATGGGAGTATGTGTCCAAAATTCTGATAGGATCGAGAAATGGAGGAGAAAGGACTGCAGTGTGACCATGCCCCATTGTGGAGTGCTTTCTTCTTCTTCTGTCTCTCCCTGGGGAGCACACATTCCCTCCAGCAATAAAAATACCACCATACCACCACCAACAAAAACTATGGGGATGCTTTTTGTTTTAATCAGAAAAATCACATACAGATTAGATAAAAATAAGGATACTTATTTTTTTAAAAAATTATTTTATTTAACTTTACTTATTTAATTTATTTATTTTAATTTGACCACAGAGGAACAGAATGAGAGAGAAGAGAGAGGAGAGAGAGGAGAGAGAGGGAGAGAGAGGGAGAGAGAGGGAGAGAGAGCGAGAGAGAGAGAGAGAGAGAGAAAGTGAGAACACAAGCTGCCAGGTCTGGGATTTGAACTGTGGTCAGACATGTGGGAGTCCAGTGCCCCATCCACCATGCCACCTGCAGGCCCAGGACACTTATTCTTAAGATGTGAAATATATACACTAAACCACATATTCAGACAATCATGTGGGAAAAATAGGCCATGTGTATATACATACATGAAAATAGAGTCATTTTAAGAAGAGAATGTTATAAAGACAAAGCTAAATTAGAAAATGGATGGGAAGATAGAATCAAGCATGCACAAGATTACTTTAAACAATATATTTTATTGGTAGTTTCTGGGACATTCAAAAATTAAAAATCATCAATAATCTCCACACCCAAATGTTAATTTCCTTAATGATTTGATGCATTTCCTTCTTTGTTCTATGTGTCTACCTATACACACACAAATACCTAAAATAGATATAATACAAATATATATGTATATAGATATGTACATATTTTACTCTTCATAAAATTGCTGTATTTCTCCCACCCAGAATCACGAATATAATGGTGCCTATCATTGCTTTATGTTTTTGTAATGCAAACCACATGGTACATTGTTGTATAATTTGATTTTTCACTTAACAATTTATGACGAATATTTTCCCAAATCCTTAAAGACAAAATAAATTTTTAGGGGGTGCTTATTATTTTACCTTGACTCATCAATTTTTAATCAACCACCTACCATTGGATATTCAAATTTCCTCGATATTTTCACTATTTTAATAAAGCTGTTGTTATAGGAGATACTATAAAGATTTAAAACTTTATTGCCTTGCTTTTCTGCCTGCTTGCTCCTCACATCCCTCCAGTGCTGCTCTGGCTGCACCCTGCTCATTCTGAGCCCGGGGCTCCTACTCAACCAGCACCACCATCGTCTCCCTCCAGCAACCATCATGATTATCTACTGGGACCTCATCAGCCATAATGAGATGTTCTCTGAGGTTTACAAGATCCAGAGATGGAGGACAGGCTGTGCCTGGAGGTGGAGGGGAAGATGGTCAGTAGGACAGAGGATAACATTGATGACTAGCTCATTGGTGGAAATGCCTCTGCTGAAGGCCCTGAGGGCGAATGTACTGAAAGTACAGTAGTCACTGGTGTTGACATTGTCACGAACCATCACTTGCAGGAAACCAGCTTCAAAAAAGAAGCCTACAAGAAGTACATCAAAGATTACATGAAATCAAAGGCAAACTTGAAGAACAGAGACCAGAAAGACTAACATGGTTTATGACAGGGGCTGCAGAGCAAATCAAGCATATTCTTGTTAATTTTAAAAACTACCAGTTATTTATTGGTGAAAACATGAATCCAGGTGGCATGGTTGCTCTACTGGACTACCATGAGGATGGTATGACCCCATATATGATTTCCTTTAGGGATGATTTAGAAATGGAGAAATGTTAACAAATTTGGCAATTACTTTGGATCTATCACCTGTCATCATAAGTGACTGCTGCTTGTCATCCACAAAACACCAGGACTAAGGGTAAATGGGACTGATGTAATCTTGGACTTTTCATTTATTTTGACTATGATTTATTTGGAGTGGAGGTATTGTTTTCAAGGAAAAAAAACATGTCACATAGGTTGTCTAAAAATAAAATGCATTTAAACTAAAAAAAAAACT